AAACAAACTAAAAAAAAAAAAAAAAAAAAAAACCATTATTATTTATTTATTATTATTAGGTGTAGTGTAATGTGTCTATGTTTATGTGGTGTATGATTAATTATGTTCCATTTATAAGAAAAAATAATAATAATGACGTCATCAAGAGAGAATCATAACATTATTATCTTACAAATTTCTGTATCATATGGCCTCACCTCTTCAAGAGGAAAACCCTTGAGACTCCCACTTTAGCCTTCTAAAACATTGCTGAATACTAGTTAGGAAGGAAGCCAATTAGGATCAGTTTGGTTTTGCTGGTTAGTTTTGTTGGGGTTTTCCCCTTCTATGGCTTGGCTTCCCTCTCAGGTATCAAGGATCTGGAGAGAGCCAGTGGCAAGGCAAGGTGTATATGCAAAGACGGTGACTGCAACGATAAGGGCCGAGAGATGGAGATGGCGTAAAATGTTACACAAGGCTGAAGGTTGCTAGGTGATATAGCTCAAATGAATGAAAATTCTATGTATTTTATATCTTGAATGAATGTTGAAACAAAGCTGTGTTTCAGCCCAACCTAATCATTGCTCAACGGGTGAATGTATATGCATTCGTTCAAGAGGTTTGAGGTTTGAATCCCTCTATCTCCCTATGTTTTTAACTTCCCAGAGGTTAGAAGTTTGAATCCCTCTATCTCCCTATTTTTTAACTAGAAAAGACTTACGTTTTTTTTCGGTAGTTCAACAACAGGAGTTGGAGTAATTTGAACTTTGACCTTTTGAGTCAAGGGTATGCCTAAATCAGTTAAGCTACGCTCAAGTTGGCCAGAAGTAGTGTTACGTAATCGTAAATAAGCCTATGATGGTGATATTGACACACCAACTATTGAGATTAAGAAGTTTAAATACAAAAGTGAAACTGAAACTAAGATAGGGAGGCAAAACTGACAGAAATCTAGAACTTTTAAGAGTGAACTAATTATAAAAACTAGTAGTGCTGAAGGCATAAAACTCTTTAGAGGATAACTAAAATGAAGAAAAATAAGGACGAAATGAATGAAGGCAATGACAAATTTAAAGGATGATTGAAATGGCCATGTATTTAGGCAAAGAAAAGAGGTAAATTTGAAGAAAAGCTATCAATGGCTCAATAGCCACGAGTTAAGAGGTAAAGCACAAGGGAACCCTTTTCCCCCATAGTTTAAGCATAAACAGGGAAACAATTAAGCAACTTGTTAGTGAATCCATCCATTTAGTAAACTAGTCAAGGAACACAGGATATTCATGTTTGTTATAGAGACAAGCATGCAACTACAAAAAAAAAAAACAAATCAAATTCCAGAGGATTCCAAGACTACGACCACACGAGAGAATATGACATCGAGATCCAAAAAACATAGAATCAAAACAGCTTCAGAAAACTTATCTGTATTAATCATCCTCTAGATTGATGGAGTCTTTGAACTTTCCATACAGAATTTTCTTCAACTCAGCCATCTGGGCCACGATAGAATCCTTTTCTTCCTCGAGTTTCTCCAAGTTCTTAACATTCTCCTCTTTCATTTCTTCCAACCTGCCTTCTACTTCTTCCCTTGGTACATGAGCAAAAACTTCCCCAATATGAAAACGAATCATGTCTTCATCACTGAGAATCAACTCATTACTTGCATCCTCTAGATTATCATTTGTTTCCTACGAAAAGCGACCGTCAAAGGTGAATTCAACGTGACTTTTACAGTATAACCAAAAGTGATTTTGAAAATTCCCTTGAAGGCACTTTAGAATGCTCATCGAGGAAGTAACAAACCAGTGCTTTTTTCCAAATTTCTTATTGAAAAAAAAAAAAAAAATCCCTCAAAAGTCATCACAAACTCACTCACTCACTCTAGTAAACATTTGGTTGCAGGGCAAACTTTAGGAGACACAAGGTTCAAGTATTGATGAATCGCTTTACTAACTAGAGTCTCCCAAATACCACCAAAAAGTAAAGATGGGAAAGAAAACAACATACTATGCTGTAGAACAGAGCAAAAAAAAAAACATCTGGTGTGTATTGACACAGTACAAATTAAAACCAAGATAATCAATCTTTTAGGGAATATATCACTTGATTCATCTAACCCCTTCTGTCGGGCATTTGTTTAATAAAAAAAAAAGTCGAATTGCCTCCTCCGTGGTTACACAAATTGAATCTAAAAAGAAAATGGGATAAGAAGCATCTACTCAATTGAAGTTTTTAGCAACATTTCAAGCGCTCACAAAATTCAAGAGGAGAAACTTCGAAGTTCATATCACATCGATACTCAAAATCCATCAGTCAGCAAGGACGTCAGATATTTAAAGTAAATAGCAAAATAAACCATTAAATACCCGATTCCTCGTATGAAAGCAATACCTTCGCTGTTCTAATCTCATCCTCAAGCTCATGGAACCGATTGTTCAACCTACTAAATTTGTTAATATTCTGCTGGTCCTCCCATGTGACCTCCGATTCAGATCCTCCGCCCTGTGCACATTAGGCATCAAAAACGCCATTGTCAGAAAACGGAAAAAGAAAGGAAATTTGTATGATACAAGGAAAATTAGTGGTTCAATACGAGTTCGATTAGGGTTTCGGTTACCTGCTGCATGTTCGAACAGTCGGTCAATCGCTCGTAGTGAAAATGAGGAAGAAAGCTCCGGTTAGACGGAAATGGAACGAGCCAATTGGAGCCCTGAGCGAAATGACGAAATTGCCCTTATCATTTTAGGGTACCATTATATTTATATTTAGGTTAAATTACCCCTTTACCCTCAATTTTACAAATTGTCTCAAATAATCCTTAAAACTTTAAAATATTTATCCATCCTTTCCATTTTTAATATTTATCAAATATTAAAAATTATTAAATAGTTTAAGGAAATATTAAATATAAAATTAAAAAAATTCAACACAATAAATACAATTAAAAGTTAAAAACTTTACCTCTGCCAGAAATTCCTTCTGACCCTATCATACTCCAGTTTGGTAGGTTCTACCGTTTGTCCACCATCGCTCTTTTAAAGTTAAAAAATCTATTGTACAGACACATTTTACAACTTACTGGTTAAATAGACACGTGGCTGAAAGTTTACGGACTCAATTTATCACTTAACTCTATATTTAATTACAAAGTTTACGAACGGGTTAAATAGACACGTGTCATTGTCTAAAAAGTTTAAGGGTATTTTTCAATAAATTTTAAAGTTTAATTATGCTCGTGGATTTTGACCTAACAATCTAGCTTGAGACGTGCGTAAAAGCACTTACAGTAAGTGTATGAGTCAAATGTCAACATGAGCTTAGCTCAATAGTGATGGACACGTTTTTTTTCATCGAGACCGAAAGTTCAAATCTCTATATCCCATATTTATTATACGCACGAGTCAAGTTTTAACATAATGTGTGAGTGTGAGAGAGTTTTCATCCTCTGAATGGGACGTTCTCATTCACTTAGACCAATTCAAGTATAGCTTAGTGCACGAAATACTAATTAATACCTAAAAATGTCGATAAATAAATCCCACTCTTAGAAATACCAAAAATGCAACCAAAGTTAAATATTTTCCATTCACTTTTACGATATTGGTGTCGGTAATATTCAATTACATTTTCAACATAATTTTTCTCGATATGTATGGCAAAATAAAAATTTTCTCGTAGTCACAAAAAAGGAAATTATTTTTAAATATATAATAGACGTTTTGGAAGTACACGTGCGATCGATCGATCGAGAATACAAAAATTTAAATTAAATAAATGTTTTTTTTTTTTGAAGATAAGAAGCATAATGAATACAATTATGAAATTTATGAATAGGGTTGGTTGGATAACGTGGGCAGAGCAATTTATTCATTTTCTCTACCAAATTACCAAACTCGAACCCCAACTCACTCTCTAACTCGATCACCAACTCACGTTTTTCCTCAAAACAATGCACAAATCTGCCAGATACTGCCCGCCCCCGCTCCCCTTTTCTGCGTATATCTATATCTATATCTCGCTATATATATATACACATCTATAATTTCCTTAAGACCATGCTATTTCATCGAAACCTCAAACCTTCCTCTTCCCCTGTACCTTTCTTGTCCAAAATCACACCAAGAATCGAACCCCACGTAATTTTTTCCCATTCGGACCATAACCCATCTCTGAATTTCCCCAAAAATCCCTTTTCTCTCGCATTCGCCCTCAGATCCGTAGTTTCTAGACGTTTAAGTCAATCAAAACGTTGCCCTTCAAAATCTGCGTCTGATTCTGCGTGGATTTGCAATAGATTGTGTTTTGTTCAATGTGGTTTAGAGAAAGGGTGTAGAGAAAAAGGGGTGTGGCTATGGCGGGTCAGGTGGTGAGAGTGAAGAGGGAAACGCTTGAAGCATGCATGACGTGCCCTCTTTGTAAGAAGCTCTTGAAGGAGGCTACTACCATATCTCTTTGCCTTCACACGTGTAAGTTCTTCTTTTTCCTCAATGGCTCTTTTAGCCATTCTTTCCTTCCATTTGTGTCTCTTTTGTTTCTTTTTGTTCTGCATGTGTTTCCCCTTCTTGGGTTCTTCACTTTGAGCTGTTTTATCATCTGGGTTGCTGTCAATTTATCTCCTTCTGTTGCCTTTTAGCTGTTTGATGTGGTAAAAACTCTTTCTCTTTGTGCTTTTGATTCTCTTTTCATGACATTTGGATCAATTTCTGTGTTTATAGTTCATCTTCTCTTCCCCAATTCTCTTTTTCCTGTCTTCTTAGAACAGTTTACTGATCACTTGTTTACATTACAAAGATTCAAATTTTGAACTGATTCATAGTCCCAAGTTCACTGAATTGTGATTCCAGTTGATATGCATTCTGCTCAAGTAACTTAACAGTGCATTTTGAAGAAGATACCTAATCTTCTACAGATATGAACTCTTTAGATCAAAGGTTCTATGCATGTTATAATCTCTGTTGTTGATCTTTGTATCTAGATTTCTGGTCTCTGTGTTTGCTTATATGAACATCAAGAGATTGAGAACTCTATGTGAATATCTAATATGTTTGGGATTCTCGAAAACTATCTAAAACGGTCGCATGTTTCTATATGGCGTATGTTTTCGGACGATCATGTTATTGCATTGAATTGGGTTCTCTGGCTACTGGAGGCGTCTGCTACAAATGGGATGGTCGGACTTCCCTGTGTTTTTCTTAGGACTTTTTAGTTTTGGAACGTATAGACCCCATTTGGGAAGTGTGAGATTTCACCTCGGTTGGGGAGAAGAACGAAGCATTCTTTATAAGGGTGTGGAAACCTCTCCTTAGTAGATGCGTTTTAAAAATCTTGAGAGGAAGGCTGAAAGGGAAAGCCCAAAAGGACAATATTTGCTAGTGGTGGGATTGAGCCTTTACAAATGGTATTAGAGCTAGACACTGGGCGATGTGCCAGTGAGGAGGTTGAGTTCCGAAGGGGGTGGACACAAGGCAGTGTGTCAGCAAGGATGCTGGACCCCGAAGGGGGGTGGATTGTGGGGTCTCATATCGATTGGAGAAAAGAACGAGTGTCAGCGAGGACGCTGGGCCCCGAAGGGGGTGGATTGTGAGATCCCACATCGGTTAGGGAGGAGAACGAAACATTCTTTATAAGGGTGTGAAAACCTCTCCCTAGCACACACGTTTTAAAAACAAAAGTTTCTTATTTTTTCAAAATGACAAAGGGGCTTGTTGATAAATGAACATAATCTATAAAAACCGAAAACTGAAACAAAAAACTTAAAGAGATTGTTTACCCGTTATGATAAGTATTTTTATATCTGCGAACTGTGCATGGTCCCTCATGCTTATTGATACTTGCATTTGTTCGTAACTTGTGTGAATTTATCTAACGAACGTCCCCCAACTTACTAAAACTCATTCATCGGCGACATCGAATGCTAGCTTTCTAATACATTTAAGTTCTGGTTGCACACAGTTTGCAGGAAGTGCATATATGAGAAACTCTCAGACGAGGAGGTTGATTGTTGTCCTGTATGCAACATTGATCTGGGCTGTCTTCCTGTGGAAAAACTAAGGTTTGTTATTTTATTTTCGTAGTTTCCCTTGAACTGTGTAACTTGACATCTCTTGAGCGTATAGCGAAAGAACTGTCGTAAGTTCCTAACAAATTTATCGAGGTTTATGCTTTCATGCTCTTCTATGTTACAAAGAGTGTTGCTGTAACAGCCCAAGCCCAAGCCTAAGCTCACCGCTAGCAGATATTGTCCTCTTTGGGCTTTCCCTTTCGGGTTTCGCCTCAAGGTTTTTAAAACGCGTCTGTTATGGAGAGGTTTCCACACCCTTATAAAGAATGCTTCATTCTCCTTCCCAAGCGATGTGGGATCTCACAATCTACCCCTTTTGGGACCTAGCGTCCTTGTTGACACTTGTTCCCTTCTCCAATCGAATTGGGACCCCCCAATCCACCCCCTTTCGGAACCCAGCGTCCTTGCTGGCACACTGCCTCGTGTCCACCCCCTTTGGGGCTTAACCCAAACTTTGCTTAACTGTGAAAACATTCATCTTCTTCTTCTTTCTTACAACTTCTCATAATACCATAGCTTTCTAGATGTCAATTAACTCATTTAAGATCCACAATTTATCGAAAAGACTTTATTTTGTTGTTTCCTTGGTCCCGATTCCTTACTACTAAAGTCTAGACCCATTCTCTTGCCTTAAAAATCCATATGGATTAACGAGTTTCAAAAACGACTTCGATTTGGTGTCTCCTTGGACGGGATTTTATAATGCTAAAATTTATACACTTTCTTTGGCTGACCGAAAATGGCGCCTTTTTGCTTCTTTTTAATTATGCTCGAAGGTAGATTTCTATGGTGCTGGAATAATTCGACGAAAAAGAATAGACGATGCATAATTTAGATTTTGTTTTACCTTTTGCAGGCCCGACCACAATTTGCAAGATATAAGGGCGAAAATATTTCCTCTTAAGCGGAGGAAGATTACTGCACCTGAAGTTTCGCCCTTGGCTTCATTGCCCATAAAAAGGAAGGAGAGATCGCTATCATCATTGGTGGTAAACACTCCCAAAGTGCCGATGCAGAGTGGCGGCTTGACTGGAAGAAGATCCAAGAACGTTGCAAGAAAGGGCGCTGCGTTACGTGGATGTAGTTTTGGCATTGAGGAACCCCTAAAGAAAGAAGAAGATTCTGGAGAAGATCATTCAGCAAGTTCGAGCTCTTCCGATTATTTGAATAAAACTGTTCGACACAGAAGGCAGGTAGGGGGATTTTACGCACATTGTTAAAATATCGGAAAAATTCCCACATTCATAGATGTATGAAAGTACGAAATCGTTGCAGGACTCATCTATGGCTGAGCCTTCGAACGGTCTAAGACACGAGGATCTGGAAAACAACGTAGAAGCAGTAGAAGGAAAAGCTGATCTCTGGACACCCTTGAATTGTTTGGTTGAAGCTGCTAACCGAACGAAGTCTACCAAGCCAAATTTCCAAGGGTCATCAATGGCCAAACTGGAACCGTCCTTTGTTGCTGATGGCGACCTCGATGCACAAGAAACTAAGGAGAAAGCGCTGTTACTTGGAGCTCCGAATTACGGATTATATATGCCCAAAACAAGAACTAAGGAGCACGGAAGCAACTTTAAGGCAAAAGATAACCATAATAATGGAACCACATCACTCCCAGAATCCACGAAACGTAAAAGGTTGCGAGCAACTGCTCGTAACAAGGCAGCTGCATCTGGTGAGCTAGGTTCTCAGGCACAGGTCGTTCTTGATGCATCAGCTGCTAAATGTAGAAGAAACAATCCAATTTGGTTCACGTTAATCGCCTCAGACGACAGGTAATATACTCTACCTATTGAATATTTGTAATACGAAAGCTGCTTTTAAGTTTCGTACGACTGATTTGTTATTAAAAGTTTTAGGAAGGGCGGGTTTCCGTTGCCTCAAATATCAACGTCTTACTTGAGAATAAAGTAAGTTCCTCCCATCTTATTACTTCATTTAAATTCGTCCATTTATCAAATTTTTCGTTCGCATTATAAAGACGACATTTAGAAGATTGCATATAGACAATGATATCTTTACGTACTTTTCTGTGTTGTGTCAAAACATTAATGTTATTTGAGTTTCCCGAGACTCTTTTGTCGTTATAGCTACTCTGTAGAAATTGTGCAGCGTAAACATTGCCCTCTTTGGGCTTTCCCTTTCGAGCTTCCCTTCAAGGCTTTATAACGTGTCTACTAGGGAGAGGTTTCTACACCCTTATAAAGAATGTTTCGTTCTCCTCCCAATCGATGTGGGATCTCACAATCTATACCCGGCACTCGTTCCCTTCTCCAATCAAGGTAGGACCCCCCAATCCACCCTCCTTCTGGGCCTAACGTCCTTGCTGACACACCGCCTCGTGTCAACCTCCTTTCGGGGCTCAACCTCGCTGGCACATTGCCCGATGTCTTGCTCTAATACCAACTTTAACGGCCCAAGCGCACTGCTAACACATATTGTCTTTTTTGGGCTTTTCCTTTCGGGGTTCCCCTCAAGGTTTTTAAAACGTGTCTGCTAGGGAGGTTTCTATACCTTTATAAAGAATGTTTCGTTCTCCTCTCAACTGATGTGGGGTCTCATTATTTTGCTCAGTCGGTTTCCTTTCGTACGTTTTTATTTCGTTTATTTGTTTGAAAAATTAGTTAATTGCATCAATGAAGTTCCAGGACTTTCTCAAAGAAAACAGGCAGCAACATGGATTACGATTACTCGTTCATTCTTTTGAACGATTTTCACTATCAATTATAGTTCCTGTTGTTTCTCGATACTCGCTGATTACTTTGCTGTTCATTTATTACATTATAGGGACGGGAAAATGCCCGTGTCGTCTATCCAAAAGTATCTCGTAAAGAAACTAGATCTTAAGAGCGAAGCCGAGGTGAGTTTTCAATTCAATATCTTATTTCATGAGCTTGGTCCCAAAGTGCCCAAATACTTTGCCAATATGTTTTTCTTTTACTTCCTAGGTGGAAATATCGTGTCGGGGACAGCCGGTGCTACCAACGCAGCAGCTACAGAACTTGGTTGACTTATGGTTTCGAACAGCGTCGACAGCGAAGAAAATTCCAGCATCCGTTGGCTCATCTGCTAAGGACTTTGTTATGGTCCTCTCGTACTGTCGAAAAGTCCAGACCCCTTGACGAGCTTCTGAATCGTGTTCTTGCTTCTGTACGTCGTCTACATCTTGTAATGTTTAATGAGCATCAAAATCCGGACCCGAAGACTCCAGGTTCGTCATATTTGCGTGAACATGCAGATTGTTGTTATATATCTGAATTCTTTGATTGGTTTTATTTCATTGGTATACCCACATAATGAACAATTGATCCAGTGCTGTTTCCCATTCCATTTTTGGCTCTTTTTTACTGATTCTTCAGTCAAAGGTATCACTCTTTTTACCGGACAACAATGTTGTCTGCCTGTCTTAACTGCCTGTCTCAACGAGTTGAGCTAAGTTCAGTTCAGTTTGACTTTGTTTTGTTCTGTCGAAGTGTTGATATTTGTATGGAAAACAACAGAAGATTCATTCTGGTGGGGAAATTTTCAAGATGAAAGATGGGAGGTAATCTTTTGTGCACTACCTCGACACCCTTTTCTTCCTCCCTCTCCCTCCCGGACCCTTTTCAACGATGCGATGGTGTTACCTTTCTCTTAATGATGTGCGGACGTGAGACATCGATAACAAACACTAGTTGAACCATGTCGATACATCAACGACAAGTGATGTATGGTGTCACAATTGCACTCTTACATAACGTTTGTAAGCGATTGTGCAGCACTCATTCTCACCCAGCAACTCCGAGTAGGAGGAATTGATGGCTAGTTGCATCCCTTTATAATACATTTTGAGGCATTTATGATTTTGAGGAAATGGAAACTATACCAGCATGACCGTGACCAATCGGTGTCTCCATTCTTTAGTTGGGCTGAACACGTGGATAGCAAAGATTGGATGAATGAGGATTGAGCAAAGGGAACTATTTGGGTGTTCACATATCCAAATTATGTGGTGCATAAACAAGAACACCTTTCCCCTCAACCTCTACCGGGCTTTTTTGGCCAGAAAAATGGCGTCCTCTCTGCTTTCTCCTTCCAGGATCTTACTCAAAGGATCATCCATGGTTCTTCCACCGCCATTAATGGCTGCTCGCAGTGAGTTCTTCAGTTCCAAATAGCATTTGCAGTACTTTTTATCATCCAATTCCACTAAAAGCTTTTACTTTCTTTCTCTTCATTCAAAGAGTTCTACTGGGTTCCCTCTGTTTTTCTAGTTTAATTATCATTTTCATCGTTCCGACAACAACGATATATACACAAACGTAGAAGTTAACGAAACTTCTAATCTTCCATGAACTTATACCCCTAATATGAAGTTCTAGATTTGTTAGCAACTCTTCTATCGACCATGGCTGAGGTGTAAAAGCCCAAGCCCACTACTGGCAGATATTGTCCGTTTTAGCTCGTTACGTATCCCTCGCGATTTTAAAACGCGTCTGTTAGGGAGAGATATGATTCATTTCTCTCTCCAACTGACATAAGATCTCAAAAGCCATCATATTCATTTTCGAACGAGGAAATAGGTTGTTAGAGAAAGAGCTGAGTCTTAGTGTAATTCCACTAATTTAGACATATGCTCTCGAACTAAACGGGAGTATCTGCAGAGTTACTCAAGATGAAGAAGGGAGCGATAAAGTGCAAGGTGGAGGAGAAGCGAGAAGGGAAGAGGTCAGAAGAAAGGATGGTTTCGGGGACGGTAGCGACGGTGGCGATGGCTACAATGGCAGCGGCGGGTCCGGCAGTGGCGCTGGTGGATGAGAGGTTGAGCACAGAAGGGACAGGGCTGCCTTTTGGTTTAAGCAACAACCTGCTAGGGTGGATTCTAGTTGGGATGTTTGGTTTAATTTGGTCTCTATACTTTGTTTATGCTTCGTCCTTAGATGAAGGTGACGACTCTGGTTTGTCACTCTGAATCAATCACCACATTTTAATCAAAGTTATGGTTAGTAAAAAAAAACACGACTATTATGTAACGACTCCTTGTTGTAGACCTTCGAGAAAATCGAAGGGAGAGTGAGACAACGATTTGATAGAATCAAGGTGTAACAGCTTAAGCTCACCGCTAATATATATTGTCCGCTTTAGCCCGTACATATCGCTGACAGCCTCACAGTTTTAAAACGCGTCTGTTAGAGAGAGGTTTCCACACCATTATAAAAAATGATCCACCCCCTTGGAGACCTAGCGTCCTCGCTGACACACTGCCCAGTGTCTAGCTCTGATATCATTTCTACTAGTCCAAACTCACTACTAATAGATTTATCAACTTTAGCTCGTTACGTATCGTCGTCAGTTACACTGTTTTAAAAAGTGTATATTAGGGAGAGGTTTCCACACCTTATAATGAATGCTTCGTTTCCCTCTCCAACCAATGTGGGATCTCACACAAGATCGGACTCGAGAGGAAACATCAACCTCCCGTGTTTCTTCCTTACAGTTAAATCCAAAATAGTATTATTTTAAAATTTATATTTGTTTCTTTCCTGTTTTCTTAGTATAATATGAATTGTTAATCAAATTTTTAAAACCAAAATAAATTTTTATAAAATTATTTTTCTCCGATTTTAAAAAATATTTAATTTTCAAAAACAAAAAAATAACTTCAAATTTTATTCAATAATTATTTAGTTTTTAATTTATAATTTTAGACTAAATTAATAAAAATATACTCTTAAACTAAATAAAAAAAATCTAAAAAATACTTTTCTTTTAAAATTTTATAAGTATTTTTTAAACATAATAATAATAATTAAATTATTCACTATATATTTTTAAAAAATATGTAATATGTCTAGTAATTCATGGTATTATTCTATATATTCCATTAATATCATAAAAAAAAATCAATTTAAGAGTATATTTTTATTAATAAGAAATATAAACTTTATTAAATAATTGAACAAAAACATAATATTATTTATTTTGGACATATTAAAATTTAATAAATTGGAATAAAATGTATTAGCCATTACACAAAATTCCCCCTTTTATTCTTTGATAATCTTGGATGAACATCAACAATTCACAAAATCATAGTCGACTGTGAGAAAGCCATTAGCATTGCCATTTCCATCCGTGTCGAGACTTTGAAACACTCCGACGTCTAAATCTAGACCTCCGTTGTTACATTGATCCACAATTCTTACGATTTGTTGAGCGCCTGTTTCCGTGTTAGTCACCTGCATGTTCATGTATTTTTTTCACTATTAGACGAACTATTATAATTTTTTCATGCAACTAACGCTCGATTCAAATTTTCGACTTCTTAATCGATATATGTTTTAATTAGTTGAGTTATGTTCATATTATAAAGATCGATACTTTACTCTCGTATTAAAGTAACAATTACAATGGTACAGTGAGGGAGTGACAAATTCACATTATAGGGTTGTATACTTGTTGGGTTGAATTCGGAAATCATTTAGACCCACCAGAAATTTTAAGCTGGTTGAGCTGGTGACTCGAGCAACTCGAACAGTGTTCTCAACCTAACCTCCTATTTTTTGGGTTGGATTAAGGTTGATTGGTTGGTTTTTTTTATAATTATTTTAAAAAATATTACTTATGCATGTCTCATTATTAACTAAATTTTCATAAAATTCAAATATTAAACATTCACCCGTCACACATCATTAACATCAGTTATAAACATTATATATTCTTTATAAGGGTGAGGATTGTGAGATCCCACAACGGTGGTTAGAGGAGAGAACGAAACATTCTTTATAAGAGTGTGGAAATCTCTCATGAATAGACGCGTTTTAAAAACTTCGAGAGGAAGCCTGAAGAAGAAAGCCCAAAAAGGATAATATCTGCTAGCGGTGACTTGAGCTGTTATATACCTACCCCATTATCTCGATATAATTCATCTATATAACGATAATGCAAGTACATTATCCATAAAACAAAAAAAAAAAAAAACCCGAATTTTTTACGTATGCAAAAGGTTAAAGGTTCTATCATCCAACCGAACATCATTACGAGCCTGTCAGAATATCTTTCGAAGTACGTTCATAAACACAAAAATATATTTTTAAGCACTTAAAAAGTCATTCGAAATACTCGTACCAGTAAGCATAGGCCACAAGAGTCCTCGCCTTGAGGTCCAACGGGGCCACAAAAGGCAGTCCATCCATATTGGCTGCGCCACTCCAAAGGCTGGTCGGCATCCCATGTGGAACAAAATGCACTCACAGCGTTCAAGTCCCAATTGATTTCGGGGGCATTGTACAAGTTAAATGTTGCCCTCACGTTGCTCACACTTTGAGCTTTGGACAACATTACAAGACATAGACACGACAACGTTATCAGCATCAAACCCTTTGTCTCCATGTTGTTCTACTTGCTTTGATGCCTAATTTGGGCATGCATTTATAGAGGGAGGAGGGAATATTTTGTGTTCTTTTCATCTTGTCTACTCACAATGGCCTGCAGTCGTTTACAACAATGTCGTTTAAGAATATTACTTTTTGCTCAAGGATTTTGTGTTTTTTTATGTTGGATTATGGTGTCTTTATCTATAACCCAAACAATTTCATGACAATGCGGGTTGGTCTTAATTCCACTCGATCAATTTTGTTCATGTTTGGTTTAGTTCTTGTTCAGCTCGTTCAACCCTGTTCAAGTTCGGTTCATAGGTATTCTCAATTGTTCGAGGATTTACTTTAGTTTTTTATTCGGTTCGGTTCTGTAACAGCTCAAGCTCACCGCTAGCCGATATTGTCTTTTTTGGGCTTTTCCTCAAGGTTTTTAAAACGCGTAAGCTAGTGAAAGATTTTCACGACCTTATAAAGAATGTTTCGTTGTCCTCTCTAACTGAACTTCTACTTTAGTCGGTTCAAGAGTTGAGATTGAACCTAAGTTATTGTTAGCTAAAGAGAACATAAAACGTTTTTTAAAATTAAAAATTTGTATTTAATCTAGTAATTTTATACATTAAAAAAATATATTAAATATAAAATTAAATGTTTTAAGAACCAATTATTCCCTTGTTTACGTTAGCTTAACTAATAAAACATTGGTGTTTCTCGGATATGATCTATGTATGGTTTGAATTTCTTCCTTGACCAAAACCTAATGTTTTTGGTTCATTGAGCATTGGTCCTTCGTTCGAGAAATCTGAAAGAATCTTGATTTGATTGTCGTATGTAAGACTCGTTAAATTACATTCCTTCTTTAGTCTTACATTACATATAAAATCCCTTCTTAAGAAACCAAATATAATACTCGGGTTAGGGTCAAGTTGGTCATTTTTCTTATATCTCCACCCGAGCGAGAATTGATACAAATCTTTAGATTCAAGGCTGGTATTAAAGTGATTCACGTGACTCGCTCACTAAACAAAAGTTATATTGATTTGACATAGTGTGGTACTATAATGAACGTAAATAGTTATGAACACAATCACGTTACGCACGATTTATAAGAGATTTAATGCATTTCTTAACTTTCAAAGATGGTGGTACCATTATAAAAAAAAAAGTTCATAAATTCAAGAAACCTCGAATTCATAGTTTATTGTTCATACTTTATTTATTAGAACGTGATATTCTTTCTTTCTTCTTCTAGGAAGAATAAACCGAAAGAAAAATCTTAGCAATTGACAAATTGATAGTTGACAATAAGATGGCCTCGGAAGACTCCATTTCCATTGGTGTCGATTCTCTTAAACACATTCACATCCAAATCCAGCCCTCCATTGGCACATTGATCAACGATTCTCACAATTTCTGAAGCTCCTGTTTCAGTGTTAGTGACCTGCAAACATTTCCATGAAAATTTCTCAGCATATTTGTAACTCTAAAACATGATAATTTTTCGCAAGAGCCAGAAGATTTACTTACCCTCAAGCAACGTCCACAAGAAGCTTGGCCACGAGGGCCGACAGGGCCACAGAAGGCGGTCCAACCGTACTGACGACGCCACTCGATGGGCTTGTTGGCATCCCATGTTGCACAAAAAACACTTGCCCTAAGGTAGTCCCAATTGATGTCTTGTGGGTTATACAAATGGTAAGTAGCCCTCACATTGTTGGCACTTTGAGCATTAGCCAAGCTCAAAACGCCCAAAGCCAAAGCCAATATCATCAAAATGCTCACTTTCTCCATTATTTTCTTTCTTGATTCTCTCTATAACTTGTTGTGAGGTTCCTTTGGGAGAGTGCTTTAATTTATAGAGATTGAACGTTAATACTTTTCAACTCAAATCTCATTCTTAGCCGCCCTTGGAAATTTTTTCCAAGTTTGACCGTTCTTCTATGATGTCGACATAACTTTAAGAGATAAGATAGTACTATACATTGTTGGTTTGAATCTTCTCTTCGATCTAAATTTCAAGTGTTTTAAGTTTATTGAACAATTACGTTAAAAAAAAAAACCTGATTTGAACGTTCGGTTCGACGCTTTCAATACGTGTAACTAAAAAAATAGCTTCTACCAAACATCAACATTGAAATTGTCAATTTGAGCATAGTTCAATTGATTAAACTACTCCTACTCATTACTAACCTGATGATAACTCACCTGTTAAAATATAATTTTTTAAAATTTAACTCATACACGTAAAATTTTAGTCAATATTTTAATGGGTTCGAACTATTTTCAAATGGTGGCAATTATTATTCAATTTCAATTATTCACTTTTTTACTCCAACCCCAAATGTTTGACAACCTCACTTTGGATAATATTGTTTTTTTTTATTAATTTCCACAAAAACTAATGATTACCTTTTCATTATGTATGTGTATATATGTATATGTATGTATATGTATGTATATGTATGTATATGTATGTATGTATGTATATGTATGTATGTATGTATATGTATATATGTATGTATATGTATGTATATGTATATATGTATGTATATGTATGTATATGTATATATGTATGTATATGTATATATGTATGTATATGTATATATGTATGTACCGTAAAAAAATAAAAGTTAAAAAAAAATATTAATAATAAATAACCCTTTATTCATAATTTTAGTATCGTTTACTTAGAATTATTTATTTTTATAAGTTAAATTATAAATTTATATAGCTATTAAAAAATTTGTTTGAATTAAAAAAAATGTGACCAAAAGAATAGGTAATGTTTAATTTGAATATTCAATCCACACCCACATGGTTCGATTGGCCCACAAATTTGACTTGACTTCCTTCTCCATAAAATCTACTCTTTTTCGTAAGATAAAACAATATCGATTCGTAGAGGGTGATCTTCGAGCCAGACATCAAACATGTTGGGTTCGCCTGACTATGGGCTAGTGCACACTCACGCTACCAAAAATCAAGGAAAAATAAAGGAACAAGTATCGTGGTGTACGATCTGTACGTAACATACTGGATAATTAACCTATGCTTGTGAGACATATAATGTGCATGGAGCCCCGCATTCAGAATCAGGTTCAATGAGAGATGATCCACATAATACTTCCTTACGTTTATAGTATAAAGTGCACATATATTTGTGGTACTTCATTCATGCTTATCATACATGAAACATCAAAGTTCTCATAGGGTATAACAAGATCGTATTAACATAGCAAACATGAATCAACAAACAGGAACTACATACACCAGGAACTACATACACCATATCATAAATAATAACAGCTCATAAGTAATGTGTTATTCATGTATCAATCAATTCATCCAACTTAGTCGGTAGGCGTTTCATCCAACAGTTTCAGATTCAACTTGGTGTTCCTAAGTTTGATTTGGCTGACGATTCCTAAATTCAACTACTATGTTTTAAAAAAATAAAATTATTTACATGTTAAAATCATAATATTTAGTGCATAATAAGGAATAAAAAAAATATATTAGAAATAGAAATTAAAACATTTTGAAAAACATTTTAAAATTTGAGAGAATAAATAAATATAAACTAGTCAAGGTTAAGAAAAAAAAGTCAAAGAGGGCCACGTCTAGAACATTTTAACTCCCATTTTCTTAAAATTAGATTTTTTTTTTCTTCTTTTATTTTCTTCCACCACATATTTGACTAATCCATTATTTAATTACTAACTCCCTTTTTAATTAGATACCAAATTAAAAATGGGAGTTAAAAATTAATTAATTTATTAAATATAAAATTTTTAATTTTTAATTTTATGTCTAATAAATATTTTAATTTTAATTTTTAATTGTGCCATATATTTAAAATTTTAAAATTCTAAAGGTTATTTTGGTAATATAGCCTAATATTAGCATAGCCATCCAAATTTAAGGTTTGTCGATACAAATATTTCTGGTTATCGCTCATATCTTGTATTGTGGACGACTTCAAAAGACAAACAACAATACTGCATAAACATGAATTAGTTTTCGAGGTCAAACTAAAATACCCAACAAACGTTACCTCTCTTTGAAAAGAAACTGATCCACAACACCTTTCAGTACGACTAGCTTGTTATGACTGCACTCTTATGAGATCCTGCAACGGTTGGAGAGGGGAACAAAACAATCTTTATCAGGGTTTGAAAATGTAACTGATCAAGCCGAATGCTTTAGCTTGTTATAAGTAATGTTTTGTTTCTCTCCTCCAACCGATGTGGGATCTCACAATCCACCCCTTGGGGGCCTAGTGTCGTCGCTGGCACACCGTCCAATATTTGGATAAGAATATTTCATTTCTCTCCAACCGATGTGAGATCTCACAACGAACTTAAGGAAACTCACTCTCGTTTTTTTGGATTATTTTTTTGACCGAACAGAAAATGACGAATCACACACATAACCGAACAGTGAAAAAGATTCTTCAAAGGTCTCAAGTCACGAGTCATTTACGGTGAGAATCGCATGTACAGTAATGATATATGATATGAGATTTCTTTGAATATTTATGGCCTAATTTTTCCTCCATAGTTAATTAATAATGCCATCTTTTTTCTCGAAACGATACGAGACTTTTCTTCGAATAATTAATGTGTAATAGTTTCTTCTGGTCGAGCGTAAATGCTTATAATAAACCGTGTTCTTTAAAGCTATCTCAAAATGTAAACGATATATTAAACTGTTCGTACTTTATTCATAGTTTATTCATTAAAACATAGTTTTTCGTTTCTCCCTTCTTTCCGAAAGAAAGAAACTTAGCAGTTAACAAACTCATAGTTGACAATAAGATGGCCACGCTGGTATCCATTTCTGTTAGTATCGATTCTCCTAAACACGTTCACATCCAAATCCAGCCCTCCATTAGAGCATTGATCGACAATTCTCACTATTTCCGAAGCTCTTGTTTCAGTGTTAGTCACCTGCAAACATTTTCACAAATTTTCTTAATTTCAATGTTTCTATTTCTCCTTTCATAAAAACTCATTACGAGAAGATTTACTTACCCTCAAACAACGACCACAGGAAGCTTGACCACGAGGGCCAACAGGGCCACAGAAGGCGGTCCAACCGTAGCGGCGGCGAAACTCCAAGGGCTTGTTGGCGTCCCATGTTGCGCAATAAACACTTGCCCTAAGGTAGTCCCAATTGATGTCTTGTGGGTTGTACAAATGGTAAGTAGCCCTCACATTGTTGGCACTTTGAGCATTAGCCAAGCTCAATATGCCCAAAACCAACGCCAATAGCATCAAAAAGCTTCGTTTATCCATTCTTTGTCGTTGTGAGGTTTCATTGAGAGAGTGCTTTAATTTATAGTGGAAAATAAGTGCATACTTTTCAACTCATATATTATTTTTAGCCACCCTTTGAATTTTCTCCCCCATTAATATGCTTAAATTCAACTTTCATCATTTACTTTATAGGCACGGGTATTCGTAGGCTGAGTTGGGTTAGATCAGGTCGAATTTGGATAATTTTTAGATCTAATTTAATTGTTCGGGTTGTAAATGAACTCGATCCAACCCAATTATAAATTTTTTGGGTTGGCTCGGATTTTTCGAACCGTTTATTTAAAATTATTTTTAAGAGTTGTTGGATAATAAATAATCAAAAAATAATTATGAAATTAAACAAAGGGGTGGTTTCTCGTTTTTGTCACGAGCTTACTTCTACATGACGACTATTCATCAATAAATTAAATGAAGCGAAGTTAACGTGGTGGGACCTATTTTTTGTGATTGTTTCTTGAACTCTTTTTTTTTTGTTGGATGCATTGTATTTTTCTATATATGATTCATCACGCGCACATTAAGTCACTAGGCGGGCTTGTTAATGTGCTTCCTAGGCCTGAGTATGATCTAGCGCACGCTCATGTTGATGGAAACCGACAAAAAAAGAAAAGAAATATGAATAATAATATGGTGTATGTGTCGGTATATAATATATTGGAGAAGTAATTCATGCTCATATAACATACAACATGCATAAGGCTCCGTATTAAAAATCATAGTTCAATAGGATGATGCATATAATATTTTTATATTTTTTATGACATAAATTCCCTGTATAACGTACGTTTATCTTCATGCTTATTATGTATATGGGACATCAAGATGTCTCACAAGTATAAATGTGATCGTAATAACTTAGGAACATGATCAACAAAACAGGAACTACATACATCATAAAATTCACCATGATGTCATAACTAAATGATAACGTGTAAACAGGGTCACAGATTAGGTGTTATTCATGCATCAATCAATTCATCTAACGTACCTTATAGGTATTCCAACAGCAAGTTCACTTATAGTTTTGGCGTAAGTCGATGTCCCTAAGCTTTTCTTGGCCTAGTCTGTAGGCATTCAAAATTTTAGATGTGTCGGGTCTCGATCATATCGGACTTGTTCAAAATAGTGTTGCTCGTGGTATGGTATGCTAAGTTTTAGATGTGTCGGGTCTCGATCATAAGTCAAGATTTTCATATTTGGCTTCTTAGAGTCAACATTGGCAAAATTGAGGTATAAGCTCCATGATTGGCGTTGCTAATGATAGGCACCACTCGACATTTTCCACCTATTTTATTCCATTATTTAATCATTGGTTTCATTAAATTATGAATTTAAAAATATCAAAAATAAAGGTTCAAATATCACACGGCATATTAAAAAAACAACTCAAGTCACTCGTCTTGTATGTTCTTTTTAAAGCACTTCGATCAAATTTGAAATGAATCAATAACGAATATTACTCTCGAAATGTTACCTAAGAAGCTTGAGTTCTTGCAGGTTGGTTTTCGAACGTGTTCAAAATTATTGGTAGATAGTCGTCTAATAACTGAGAAACATGTTGGGGAGAAGTTTGTTGTCGTTAGAAACTTGTGAGTATGTGTTAGACTTTGTCGAAAGCATCGTTGGCATGCAAAGCTCACTACTCATAATTGTAGCTGTGAAATCTCACATCGATGAGAGAGGAGAAAGAAACAATCTTTATAAAGGTGTGGAAACTCTCCCTAGAAGACGTGTTTTAAAAATGGGAAGCTCGAAAAGGAAAGCCCAAAAAAGACAATATTTGCTAGCGGTGGGCTTAGAGCGTTACAATAGCTCATATCGAAGATGAAGAAAAATGCACACGGTTGGAGGGTTTGTGTCTATTGTCTCCGCCATAAATGTTTACGTATAAGACACAAAATTGAAAGAATAAGAACTTAATAGACCACAAAATCAAACGTTTAAGGATTTATAAACATTTTTCAAAATTCAGTGAATCTATTAAACAATTGGGCTTTTCTTTCCGGACTTCCACTCAAGGTGTTAGAATGTGTCTGTTAGGGAGAGGTTTTCACACTGTTATAAGGAATGTTGTTTTGTTCCGTCTCCAACCAATATGAGATCTCACAATTCACACCTTGGGAACCCAGCGTTCTTGGTGGCACACTGCCCGGTGTCTAATACCATTTGTAACAGTCTAAACCCACCGCTAGCAGATATTGTTTGCTTTGACCCGTTACGTATTGTCGGCCGCCTCACGATTTAAAATCATGTCTACTAGGGAGAAGTTTCCACACCCTTATAAGGAATGCTTCATTCCCCTCTATCGCTAATGTGAGACCTCACAACAATTCTTAAAATTTATGAACCTATTCGACACAAACGTGAAAAAATTGAAGAACTCAAAAAAATTAATTAAAAAAATTAAAATTCACATGCAAATTAATGAAATTTTTTATATGCTATTATTTAGAACCCATTTAAATAAAAATAAATAAATAAATAAAGGAAATCACAAAAATAAACAAAATAGGCAAAATAAAAATAATAATACAGCATAATATGTAAAATATTAAGTTTTAAGTAGAAATTGCACATAAACCCCTCTATGCTAATGTTATATTTATAAGTCCTTACAAACTCAATATATAATAATTAGAAATTGCACATAAACCCCTCTTGTTCTTAATATATAATAATTAGAAAATAAATTTAAATCGGTAAATATCAAACAAATTTTCGTAAATAAAAACACCTCAGCTTCTGTTCTTGCTTTTCTCCATTGTTCTTGGTGCTGTCCATAATTAAATCAAATTTTAAAAATAAAATTAATAAGAGAATCAAAATTTTCTCTTTTATAAGGTATTAAAAAAATTATACACGAGAGATTTGTGTGACTTACCGAGTCCAATCGCTTCAGACTCTTTCATGATCCGTAAACGTTTGCATGAATCGACAAACATCCTGTTTAGCAAGACAGTACAATTAGAGGGATTTCGAGTCTTTCTACGCAGACGTTGAAGGTATTTGACTCGTAATTAAGTTAGGGTTCGTTTGTCTACCCGACCCAAAACTTTAAGACGTTAGATTTTTCATAAACCGAGCATTTCATAAGCTAAATGAAAAAAAGAAAGCTTACTCCCATGGTACATCGCCGACGAGCATCCAATCTCCATCTTTGTCTTCATAAGTCGGTACGTATTCTGAACCGTTCAAAAGGTCTACTAATTTTCTTTCGTTCATGAAATCCTTCATTCCTTCCGACTCGCACGTTCCTGCCATTCAAACATGACTAAAACTTTCGACTAAAAAATTTCCAACGAAATTTTATTTTTACCATTTGGGTAAAATATACTATTAATCTTATAGTACGTCTTAAAAAGTTACCGACAGTAAAAAAGTAAAAAAAAAAAATTACCAACGGTGAAAGAGCTAAACATTTTGGCAAGCGCGTGGGAAAGGTCTTTGTAGCTACCATATAGCTTCAAGTCCACCTTCCGTAAATAAGGAGCGCCGTCCATGCTAACTTTCACGAACGCGCCGCCGCCCCCGCCGCCGTCTTCCCCACCGGTCCTCTGCGCCCCCAAATTCTTCCTTGATGATCGAACCGGCGGCCAACCGACTACTTGTGCTCTGTTAATAATAAATTCATAAAAAATTATTAGGGAAAATTATGTTTTTTTTATTTTTTATTTTTGAATTTCAACCAAAAATAAATAAAACAATTTATTAGCATTTTCATTATAAATTAAATTTTTACAATTATTTAATCAATTTTGATTTATTGAGACATTCTTAAAGTAATAAATAATAATAAAAAATTGGGTTTTTTTCACTAAAATATAATTATAATCTTAATTTTATAATTAATTACCTATTTTTTTCATGTATAATTCTCAATTTTAATTAATTTTAAATAGAGAAAAAGAAAATTACTTGGAAGGAGGCTTAGCGAAATCGTTAGGCCGTTGCGAAGAGCTTTTAGTCTCTTCCAAATTCGTCGCCTCCTCCTTCTCCGGCGCCATTGACGACGATAGATTAAGCTTCAAATCCACAGTTTCCATGAAACCTCTCTTCGCCGCCGAGCTACTCTTCCCGCCGCTGGTGTCGCCGCCGTCGCCACCGGGCAAGCCGAGGCGGAGCTCTGTCTGCTCGAAATTGATCAAGATCGCTCTGTACTCATCGTTCTGCTCCGATTCCATGACTCTGCTACTCTTTTTCGCTTTCGAATTCGTCGGAATTTTGCGATAATTCGTCTGATTTTGCTTATGAAATCGCCGAGATCGAGAATTTTATTTGCAGGACGAACGAATTTGAGATTCGGGGCTTCGAATTGGATATATTATATTAATTATTATGTTTTTGGGAAATTGACCTCCTTTTTTCTTTTTGGAAAAATAGCGTTGGAATTTGCGTGAAATGACGGTTTTGGGTATTTAAATTAAATATTTTAGTACGATGGATTTAAGGATGAAATCGAAATTCTTATAATATAATAATTAAATTTTGGAAAAGAATATGAATTTAATTATATTTAGAAAAAAGTGGGATGTTATTTTTGTAAAATGAAAAGTGAGCTACTTTTCAAAAAAAGAAGGAATGTGTGTTGGCTCACGCGGATGGCATGAAAACATCAGAGATAGTTTGGAGGGTGAGGATTGTGCCACGTGGATGAGTTTGTTGGATTGAAGCTATGTCACGAGTGACGTCGTTTTGGGAAATGATTATAGAACGACAAGGCCTGTTGGAGCCTCCCCTTTTTAGTGCTTTTTGGATTTGTTTGTTAATCTCCCAACACTCTATTATTTGTTTATTTATCAATATTTATTTTAATTAAATATTCACTCTTTATTATTTGTTTAAAATAAAAATATTAATAATAATCTAATTATTCTCTCTTAAAATACTTATTTTATTTTGCTAAATTATAACTATTGTAACTATTATATTTTTTTTTTCATTTTATAATAATGTTTATATTGACTATTTTACCCCTCAGCAATATCAAAATATTGTTAATTTTACCTCTTTTTTCGACATTTTGAGTCACCGAGCCACATGCCTGGACGTAATTTGCATGACTAAATTGTCGGGTTGGGTGAAACTACTAGGCTTTGGCATACCGAAGTATTAGCTCTATGAGATCCCACATCGGTTGGACAGAAAAACAAAGCAATCTTTATAAGGGAGTGAAAACCTCTCACTAATACACGCGTTTTAAAAATTTTGAGGAGAAACTCGAAAGGAAAAGCCCAAAAAAGACAAATATCTCCTAACAGTGAGTTTAGACGGTTACCGACTCGATGAACTAGCTTGATCTTTTTCGGATATGTATTATGATAAGTAGGGATTGAGGATAAGGTTAAAAAAATGGTTAAAGAGGGAGATGGGATGGCCTCTTCCACTACCATCTTGTCAATTGTTATACCCTTCATCACCATTAATGGTCACCATTCAAAGAACTTTTCTTTTTATTTTTTTAACTCCATTTAAGAAGCATAAGAGACCATCTCAATCTTTTACTCGTCGATTCCGTAAAACGGCTTCGTTTCTCCACTTCGGTGAAACAATTTCGCTTCTGTTCTTCAAGAAAATAGTTACGATTTTATAGAATTGTCGATTATCAATTACATGCGTTCAGAACCCTAATTTTGAAATTTGAAAAATCATATGATTTTGTTATTGTTCATGATCGTTGTTGTTGTTATTATTATTATTATGCATCCTGTTTATCCATAAATTTTTGTTTTATTGTTTCTTTTTTCAAAATTTTCTTTTGATTTTTGTTCTTATTGTTATTTTGTGTTTATTTGGAAAACGGGGTAAAGCTTTAATAAAGTTTTTGAATCATATGATTATGTGTTAATTAATTATTAGACCGAACTTTTAACTTTATTCGTATACAATTGACATGACTAATGTACGCGACACGATTTTAAAAAAAATAATAAAAATAAATTTGACTTATTTTATGTAGTATTCCATTTCGTAGCTTTTCACACGTAGGTCAATTTACGTTGAATGTCTGTATTTGACGTGTCTTTTAAAGTTGAATTAAAAGAAAACGTGCATTTTAAGGTCAGTTATGGAAGAGAGCAGACTAAGTTGGTAATATACAGTTGAAATTTTTTAAGAATATCTTTAACATTATGTAACACTCGAGAAAATGAGTAGAATAAAATGAATAAGAATTGAAAATTATTATATATATCGATGATGTGCACCTCTTTTTCGATAACTAAATCATAAAAACTTCATAATTAAACACGTTTTGTTATGAACAAGTCTATATTAGGTGACCTCTCGAAAATTTTACAGAAAGCATGTGACTAAGGATAAAATATGTTGAAAGGACTCGTGTTAGTTTCTAAGGATAATTTTCGCTCGTAAAAGAAAGAACTAAATAACGTGATCATGTCGTAGAAAAATATTGGAGATGCCCGGGATAAGAGACATTATACTTTTTTTTTTAAATTTAACACACAAAATATATAATATGAATGAAAATTTGAGTTTGACCTTATGAATTGCTCGTTATTTCTCATAAAACATATATTAATACGAACTCTTTAAAAATTGGACATTTTCAACCTTAAATTATGAGTTTATTATTGGTACCTTAATAATTACGAAACAACTTCTCATAATTTAGTTTAATTATAATACAAATAAAAAAAATTAATAATGGTATATAGTTGTAATTAAATAAAAAAACAAGACCTTATTGTTATTTGTTAAAAAGATACCCATTGTCAATCACCTTGGAATACACAATTCTCAATTATTCATATAAATATTGATTTTTAAATTAAACTCTTTTAATAAAAATTCGGATTAAAAATTTATATATTCATCATCTAAACAATATTTATTTATAACAATTTGAATAAAACACAAAAAAAAAAATACCGTATTTAACGAAAAAAATATTAGTGGTGACTCAATTTTCATACACATCAGTATAGTCAGTTTTGAACCGTATTTTCAGTATAGTTTTTATTTGACCCATAAATTACAAAATGTTAAATCTTTATGAGTTCGGCTGAGTTCCTAAATTCTAAAATTTACATATTTACCCTTAAGTTCTTATTAGCTTACCTTTGATTCTCGGTCTTTTAACTTTCATTAACAAATTTTAATAATCATGATATTAACTTTTAATTTAATTTTAATAATGATGAAAAATGAAAACCCTAACGAGCAATCACATATAAAAGTTTGTAACAACTTAAGTCCACTGTCAGTAGATATTATTCGTTTTAGTCTTTTATGTATCGCAGTTAGCCTCATCTACACATTTTGAATGCTTTGTTCCTCTTTTCAACCAATATGGGATCGCACAATCCACTTCGTTGTGGCCCAGTGTCCTCGTTGGCACACTATTCAATGCTTGGTTCTGATACCATTTGTAACAGCTCAATTCCACTACTAATAGATATTGTATATTTCAGCGCATTACGTATCATCGTCATTTTAGAACACATCTGTTAGGGAGATATTTCGTTATTCTCTTCAACTAACGTGGGAACTCAAACTGAAAAAGGGTTAAAAATTGAAATTTATGAATAAATGAAAATTAAGTTTGAAACTTAGAATAAAAATGTAATATTTTAAAATTTAAGGACGAAATAAAAATTAAATTGAAACGAACGTAGGGACAAAAATGTAAATTTGATAAGATATAGAGACAAAACGTACATGGGTACTACAAACATAAAATCTTGGCAAGATATAATGACATAATGGAGCTTGGAATGGTTATATAACCGACACAAAAATAACTACCAAATTTTTTATTTATAAAAAAAGTAATTAATTTTTAACCATTTTTTTAAAATAATAATAATAATAAAAGACAGTTATATTTTAAAAAAATAATTTATTTTTTGGCCACCGACTTTTAAGGCGGTTGGAAGGAAGCTGTAAAATTCATATAATAAATGACATGTCGGGGGTGGGTCCCACTTATAAAGTCAAAAGTCAAACTTGGGAGACATTCGTGCGTACCTGGTGCAAGATTGGGAATCTAAATTGAGAGCTACCAAATTTATCAAAATTTTAAAATAATGTTAAATTAATAAAAATATTCTCCAATTTTATAATTTGTTTAAATTTTTAAAAATTCAATAATATTTCTAAATTAAAAATAAAATAAAAAATACAGATGAAACCTTTTAACATTTTTTCATAAATTCAAAAATATATTTATTGTTACTATCATGTTAAAAAATATACGTAAAATTTTAAAACTAATATTAACATCATTTTACCTTTATAAAAAATATTAAAATAATTTTACGGTCAATATATGGACAAAAATCATTTATCGACACTATTTTAATATTATTTTGAAAAGGCACGGATAACAAAATTAATTTTAAAATTTTTAAAAAAGTTTAAACATATTTTTTAAAATTTTTTAAAAAGTTAAACGTTATTAATAAAACTTTTGAAAATTTAATGGTACTTTTTAAATAGAGGTCGATAATAAATATATTTAATTTTTTAAAAAATATTATTTTATATTTTATTATAATTACACCTTCAACCGGCTTAAATATATGAAACTCTATGATTATGCATTTAATTAAATATTAACTTTTTTTTTTGTTAATTTTAGAAAAATAATTATTTTTAAAAAGAATTGTAGAAGAGGAATCAAAGCATATGGATAAATTCCTAAATTTTAAAATTTAATAGAAAATAAATATCCCAATTAAAAATTGAAAAGAATTTAAAAATAAATAAATAAATTATAATTATAATAATGGGTTCCCAAATTATGGAAACAAAGAGTGGGTTGGACATGTTGGCATGTCACCTAGTTTTGGATCCAACAAAAGAAATTAAAAGAGGGGACAATGCCCATGTGACACATTAATGAAATTGCATGCAACAACTATATATTAAAATTTATTCACATACCTTATATTAATTAATTATGTTATTCACATTTTGTACTAAATTTGTGATAAATGTTTCCTTTTCTTCGTATATTAAGATTCCTTCTTGCTTTTCGCATTTAATTCCATTCAACTATTATTCTCAATACTTTGTACTTTCCCACCTAATTTAAATCATCTTTTCGCCATGGTTTACTTAAATATATACGTCTGGTACCCGTACTCGAGATTTAGAATATGAATTTTGCACTTGATGATCTCGATATTCTTTGCATCTTGTGCGACTCGAGTATGTTGCCCACGAACCAGCATGAGTTCTTTTACTATGTTTGGTTCTCACTCATGTTTTCGAGCATGATTGAGCCACCGAAAAAAGACGTGTTTTGTGGGTATTGGTGGAAAGTATGAATTTTTG